ATCCCAGATCGACCTCCCCTGCAACACTACCAGCGGCGAGAAGCAAGCAACAGCATCGTGCATCAGGTGGCCCAAATGAGGGCGGATGAACGATAATCAGAGGCGGCGATCCATCGTGGCCTGGGACTGCTACGTCCCAAACAAATACCAAAGATACTAATGTGCGTTTGCTGCCTTTGTCATGGCTCATCAAAGCTGCTTCCCTCATATTTGACACATCGAAGTCTTTCGAGCACAATGTACATATCGCCATACCTTCATGCTTTAGATGGCGAGCAAGCCAGTTACGATAAGCTTCCATTCTTAACCACAGGTCATTAAATTTACACTTTCCAGGCATGGTGATGTAGAAATAAGGAAGATGGAACGCTGCCACTGCACATCAAAAACAATTGTTGAATGCAACTGGGCTCGGTGACCGAGCTCACGTGATTAGTTCTCCAATCACGTGACCGACGGTTACGTGATTGGAGAACCAATCAGAACGCATGAAACAAGAGACTGTGGCACAGTCTCTTATTTCATGCGTGCCAATCAGAACCAACGAAACAATAGACTGTACAAACAGTTAACACACGCAGCACAGAAAAACACTTCCTTTTTTTTCTTTTATGTGCAAATTCCATGATTCTCCATGACCTGAAATGAAATTCAATGACTTTTCAGGCTGGAAAATGAAAAATCTAATTCCATGACTTTCCAGGTTTTCCATGACCGGTACGCACCCTGCATTAGGGTGACAACATGGCATTAGGGTGACAACATGGCATTAGGGTGACAACATGGCATTAGGGTGACAACATGGCATTAGGGTGACAATATGGCATTTGGGAGACAACATGGCATTAGGGTGCCACAATACCTGTAGGGGGAGAACATGAAGGGCAGGGAGGCCTCCTGACGCGCCCTCCTCCTGACGCTGAAGTGCGCCAGCTGCTGACGGGCGTTGGTGTAGAGCGCCTCCGCCCTGTACTGCTCAGTGGTACCCAGGTACTCGACTGGTAGGGTGCCCTGTAATGGTACCGTAATCTTACACATTCATCAAGGATATCGTCATCATTTACATTACGGAGACGGTACAGGAAACCCAAGGATATCATCATTTACATTGCTAAGTCTGTACAGGAAAGCTAGCAAAGCTTTGTAAGCGGACCGCTGATTGGTGTTGGAGACGACGAATCACTGCCTTGCTGTATTGTGAGCTGGTCTGTGATTGGCGGACACTTATTCTCACAGCTCGCTAGTGTCCTGGTGAGGTTCACTACATCAACATTTACCCCACGATAGTTGTAATGCAAATGAATGAAAATCAGGAAGGGATGAAGAGTTATCAATACCCATACTTAAACAAATAATATAAAGAAATTTTATTAATAATGACAAGTGCATTTTTGTCCACTATTTCACGGCGGTTCGTAGAAAAAATGATTTAATTTCATAGTTGCAATATACTGCTCTAAATATTTTTGAAAAATTATGAACTAAATAAATTATCGGACGAACAGCATCGTAATAGAAAAACGGACGGTCACTCACCACACTGTTGACGAGCACTCACCACGCTGTTGACGGCCACTCACCACACTGTTGACGGGCACTCACCACGCTGTTGACGGCCACTCACCACACTGTTGACGGGCACTCACCACGCTGTCGACGGGCACTCACCACGCTGTTGACGGCCACTCACCACACTGTTGACGGGCACTCACCACACTGTTGACGGGCACTCACCAC